GGGTGTTAGCTCTCTTGGCATCACCCGCGTAGATTGGTTCGAGACATTATTCACCTAAGGGAAACCTCTGGCTTTCAGGCCCTCCAAAAGTTCATGGAAACATACATTATTTTTTTTAAAAAAATTGTACATAAGTCGAGGCAGCCGAAAGCCTTGGGACCCTGCACCCGCATGGAGATCCAGAAGAGCTCTGGGCTCCTGGCTTCAGATCATCACAGCTCCAGCTGCCACGGTCACTTGGGGAGTAAATCATCGGGTGGAGGATCTTCAACTCTGTCTCACCTCCTCTCTATATATACCTGACTTTGCAATAAAAATAAATAAATCTTTTTAAAAGCAAAAATAAATAAAATTTTAAAATTGTGCATAGATTTCAGATTTCTCATCTATTTTTTAATTAATTATTCATTTTATTTGAAAGGTAGAGTTACAAAGAGGGTAGGAGGGAGAGACAGAAAGAATCTTCCATTAACTGGTTCACTCCCCAAATGGCAATTTCTTGCACTAAAATAAAAAGATCTTTTAGTTCCTTTTCCCATAAACTTCCTAAAGTATTCTAGCAGGTGGCGTGGATGGAAAGCTTGGGATGACTTTCTTGTGTTTGCTTTTCAACAGGTGTGTTGTGATATGAACACATAATGGGTGTATGTGTGTGTGGGTGGGTGGGGAGGCAGGGTGACTTCGTATCTGAACACCATCTCAGGTGACGATGCAGGAGATGGGAGACCCGCAGAGGCCAGCTCAGGGCCCAGGTAACAGAACACGGGAGTCGGAGAGGCGAGAAGGCCCAGCGTCCGGGAAATGCTTGCAGCTGGAGCACGTCCAGGGGCTGTCTCGCCTCAGATGAGTCAAATATTTACCCACTAGTATTTTTAGCACATTATCTGCTGTGTGGAACAGTCCTTCTCGGGAGAAGGGAGATTCCAAATCCTGGCTGTGCTATCATCATTTGGAGAGATTTCAAAGCCCATCCTGCTTCCTCAGCAAGCAGTCCGTGCAAGTGAAATCTTATTACACAAATGAATTGTAAAAAGGTAATAACTGCCATCAAAGTGATGCTAACGGCTCTGAGCAGTGATGGCATTCCCAACAACCTTAAACTTTAATGAGAAAACATCCTATCTGGCTTAAAAAATAGCCTAGTGGTTCAAGTCCTCACCTTACCTATGGCATCCCATATGGTCACTGGTTCTAATCCCGGCACCCCCGCTGCCCATCCAGCTCCCTGCTTGTGGCCTGGGAAAGCAATCGAGCCTTGGGACACTGCACCGCGTGGGAGACCTGGAAGAGACTCCTGGCTCCCGCCTTCGGTTCAGCTCAGCTCTGGCCATTGTGGTTGCTTGGGGAGTGAATCAGCGGACAGATCTTCTGTGTCTCTCTTTCTCTTTGTATATCTGACTTTCCAATTAAAACAAATAAAATAAATCTTTTAAAAAAATAGCTCCACAAATATATGCACAGACATGAAGGGTTTTTTTTTATGACTCTAAAAAGAGGACTGTTTTATCTCCTTTTTTCTAAGATTTTAAAATGTATTTTTATTGGAAAGTTAGATCTACAGAGAGAAGATACAAAAGTCTTACGTCTGCTGGTTCACTCCCCAAGTGGCCGCAACGGCTGGAGCCGAGCTGATCCAAAGCCAGGAGTTTCTTATGTTTCCCTTGGGTGTGCAAGCCTCCAAAGTTTGGGCAGTCCTCTACTGCTTGCCCAGGCCACAAGCAGGGAGCTGCAAGGGAAGTGGATCCAGCCCCCATACGGGATCCTGGGGCTTGCAAGGTGAGGACTTTAGCCACTAGGCCACCATGCTGGACTCCAAGGGTTTCATCCTGATACATGCTCAGGGGAGTAAAATTTGGCACAGGGGCTACCTGATGTTTGGAGGGTTAAATTGTTGATTTTGACCTTGCTAGCTCATTGTAAGCACTGTGTTGGAGCAGCTCCGGACTGGTGTACCTGGGAGAGCAGAGAAAGGTGCCCCACGTGGGGGGGACCCTGAGCCTGCTCCACCAGCTTCCTTCAGTGTGGGTTCAGCAGATGGAAAGTGCCTCCTCTCCTCGCGCTCTGTCTCAATACCTTCCTCTTACTCTACCTTTCAAATAAATCAACTTTTAAAAATGACATGTTTTGGGTCTGGCGCAGTGGCCTAAGTGGCTAAAGTCCTCGCCTCCAATGCGCCTGATCCCATATGGGCATCAGTTCTAATCCCAGCAGCCCTGCTTCCCATGCAGCTCCCTGCTTGTAACCTGGGAAGGCAGTAAAGGATGGCCCAAAGCCCTGGGACCCTGCACCCAAATGAGAGACCTGGAAGAGGCCCCGGGCTCCTGGCTTCGGACTGGCTCAGCTACGGTTGTTGCGTTCACTTGGGGAGTGAATCAGTGGATGGAAGATCTCCTCTGTCTCTCTTCTTCTCTGCATATCTGACTTTCCAATAAAAATAAATAAATTTTTTAAATGGCATGTTTCTATTTTATTAAGATGCCAAGGAATGCATTATTAAAGAAAACTACATTTTCTGTTACTTTGCGGTTCCTTGAAGTATTTGGTTGCTGGGGTTGCTGGAAGCCTCCACTGCTTCCGAGGTCCTAAACGCCTTGTCATGCAGGAGCTCAAGTGTTGCCCTGTGTAAGTGTTTCATTTGTTTTAAAAAAAATCCTCATAAAGAGAAAAAAGCGTATGCTCCTCTCCTCAAGCCAAGTCTGACTAGCCCCATAGGAGCCAAGGCAGAGGAGGGACGCTGCTACAAGATGGCCAGCCGCTCTCTGGCACTGGCCAGCAGGGTGTCCCTCCCCGCCCCACCCTTCCCCAGTGTCCACCAGTCTCTCCGAGCCCCGAGTCTGTTCAGAGACCCAATCCCTTGCTTACTCCCAGCCGCTGGGAAAGGCTTTGGTCTGACTCAGTGTCCCGGTTTTAACAACCTGTCTTTGGACGCACACTGCTTCTGCTGGAAGGCGCACCTTCCCACGCGCACGTCCTCTCAGATAACCTCACTACAACGTAAACTCCCGCTGAATTCACATCAGCCTCACGGGAAAGCCAAGTGCGCCTTTCGCCCGGAAAGTGCAGGCGGCAAACATAGCTGGCATTTGCCCAAGATGAAACGCTAGGTGCCCTCCCGCTCCGCGCGCGGCCGCAGCCGAGTGGAGCAAGCCCTCCCCTGCGCCCACAGCGTGGCTCTGCCCTGCGCCGTGGGTGGGGGACGGGTGTGCACCCCCTCGCCCAGGCTCCACCCCTACCCTAGCCGGGAGACGAGTGGGTGCGGTAGGGAGAAAGGGTGCTGGGCTGGCCTGGACCCATCTTCAAACCGCGGCTTAGGTCCGCCTGCTTGCAAACGCGCTGGGTCCCGAGGAGCTGAACAGTTCATCGCTGCTGGCACGGTCAGGATGCGAGCTGGCCAGTGTGATCCAAGCATTCGGGGCGCGGCTTTTCTTTAAGATGAATGGGAGCGGGGGAGGGGTGGGGCACACGCACGGCTGTGTTTTTTTTTTTTTTTTTCAAACAAAGATCACGCGCGGTACCATTCGATGTTTTGAAAACCCCAAGGACAAATCCCGGGTCCCCGGCGCGAGGCGTGGGTACGGGTGATTTTCGGACCTCGGCAAGGCGACTCTCCGGGGCGGCCGGCCGGGCTGGCCGCAGACAATAGCGGGGAAGCCGCGGCTCCTTCCCACGAGCCGCCCGAGATGCGAGGAGCAGGCGCACACAAAGCGAGCCGGGCCGCCCCGCGAGAAGCACGGCGCCGGAGCCGCTCTGCGTGGCGCCGCGCACCCGCGCGACCCCGCCGCGCCGCCCGCCTCCCCGCGTCGCGACTGCTAACTAGAGCGACGCTCCTTCCGCCTTGCGGGGCGTGCTTCCCCACGAGGCTGCTCGGCTCGCGGGGCCGGGGAGGGAGCAGGGCGCGGGTCCCCGCGTCCGCGCCGCCAGCGCCCAGCGGGAGCCTGCGGGACCCGGCCACGCTCGGCCCCCAGCCCGCAGCCCGGGGCGGCGCCCCAGCCGGGCGGCCCGAGGGGGACGCGGGCGGGACGGGCGCGGGGGGAGGGGAGCGCAGCTCCCGCGGCTGGAAATTGATTTCCTCGCCGGAAAAGCAGCGCGCGGCGGCGGCGAGGAGGGCCACGTGCCCGAGCAGCCGCGGTGTTGAAGCGCCACCTTCCGTCGGCGCGGCGCCGGGCGGCCAGCGGGCAGCGGGCAGCGGGCAGCGGCCGGGCCGCCGCGGGGGTGGGCGCAGCGGGCGCAGGGGGCGCGGGCAGCTCTGCGCCCACCCCGGGCCGCCCCGGCTCCCCCGCGCGCCGCTGCTCCCCGACGCCGGTCCGGGCGCGACGGAGCGCCCCGTCTGCGCTCCCCGGCGCACTCCTCGGCCGGGGCCAGCGGGCACAAAGGGACGCGGGGCGTCTCGCGAGCCTCGGGGCCTGGCACGGCGCGGGCGCCGCCCCGGCCGCTCCCCCGCTGGCAGGGGCACCGCTTGCGAGCATCCCGGGCGGAGGCGCATCTGTGCACACACGCGGGTTTTTTTTTTTTTTTCTTAAATAACACATTTCCAGACATGCCTGCCTGCCCGCCCTCCCCCGCCCCACCCCCCCACGCATCCCCCTCCCATCCTGGGGGAGCAGCCCGGAGGGCGGGGCCGCAGGGTTAATAAAGGGAGAGGGGCGGAGCCGGCGGCCGCCATTGGCCGGCCGGGGCGGTGATGTCAGCCGCACGACCCCCTGATAACTAGTTGGGAGCGGGCTCCCAACTTTTTGCCGAAGGAGCGCGCGCGCCTGGGAGCGTTCGGGGTCGGGCGCTTGCGGCGGGAGCCACGAGCCGCAGAGAGGGGTCCCGGGCCGCCGCGGCCGCAAGTCCCAGCGCGCGGGCGGCCGCCGCCGCCGCCTTGGCCGCAGCCGCTGTGTGCAGCCTGGAAGGGGCGACGGGGGGCAGGTGGGGCGCCGCGGCCGCGGGGCGCCGAAGACTTCGCAAGTTGCCCGGGAAGGTGGAGGGGCGGGCGGGGGAGGGGGAGCTCGGCGCGAGAGCGAGCGGCCCGGGCTGGAGCGCCCAGCCCCGCAGCGGATCATGGTGCAGCAGGCGGAGAGCTTGGAAGCGGAGAGCAACCTGCCCCGCGAGGCGCTGGACACGGAGGAGGGCGAATTCATGGCTTGCAGTCCGGTGGCCCTGGACGAGAGCGACCCGGACTGGTGCAAGACGGCGTCGGGCCACATCAAGCGGCCGATGAACGCCTTCATGGTGTGGTCCAAGATCGAGCGCAGAAAGATCATGGAGCAGTCCCCGGACATGCACAACGCCGAGATCTCCAAGCGGCTGGGCAAGCGCTGGAAGATGCTGAAGGACAGCGAGAAGATCCCGTTCATCCGCGAGGCGGAGCGGCTGCGGCTGAAGCACATGGCCGACTACCCCGACTACAAGTACCGGCCGCGGAAAAAGCCCAAGATGGACCCCTCGGCCAAGCCCAGCGCCGGCCAGAGCCCCGAGAAGAACGCGGCGGGCGGCGGCGCGGGCGCGGCGGGCGGCGCGGGCGCGGGCGGCGGCGCCAAGACCTCCAAGGGCTCCAGCAAGAAGTGCGGCAAGCTCAAGGCGCCCGCGGCCGCGGGGGCCAAGGCGGGCGCGGGCAAGGCGGCCCAGGCCGGGGACTACGGCGGCGGCGCGGGCGACGACTACGTGGTGGGCAGCCTGCGCGTGAGCGGCGCGGGCAAGACGGTCAAGTGCGTGTTCCTGGACGAGGACGACGACGACGACGAGGACGACGACGAGCTGCAGCTGCGCATCAAGCAGGAGGCGGACGACGACGACGACGAGTCGCCGCACCAGCAGCTCCTGCAGCCCCCGCCCGGGCAGCAGCCGCCGCCGCCGCCGCCCCCGGCGCCGCAGCTGCTGAGACGCTACAACGTCGCCAAAGTGCCCGCCAGCCCCACGCTGAGCAGCGCGGCCGAGTCCCCCGAGGGCGCCAGCCTGTACGACGAGGTGCGGGCCGGCGGCACGGCGGGCGCGGGGGGCGGCAGCCGCCTCTATTACAGCTTCAAGAACATCACCAAGCAGCACCCGCCGCCGCTGGCACAGCCCGCGCTGTCTCCCGCATCCGCGCGCTCCGTCTCCACCTCCTCCTCCTCCTCCTCGGGCGGCGGCGGCGGCGGCAGCAGCAGCAGCAGCAGCGGCGGCGAAGACGCCGACGACCTCATGTTCGACCTGAGCTTGAATTTCTCCTCCTCCCAGAGCGCGCACGGCGCGGCCGGCGAGCAGCAGCTGGGCGGCGGCGCGGCGGCCGGGAACCTGTCGCTGTCGCTGGTGGATAAGGATTTGGATTCGTTCAGCGAGGGCAGCCTGGGCTCGCACTTCGAGTTCCCTGACTACTGCACGCCCGAGCTCAGCGAGATGATCGCGGGCGACTGGCTGGAGGCCAACTTCTCCGACCTGGTGTTCACCTACTGAGAGGGGCGCGCCGCGCTGCTCGCCCCTCGCCCCGCGGCGGGCGCGCGTCCGGGCCGCTCGGGAGGAAGTCGCGGCGCTCGCGGCGGTGGTGATGATGATGATGATGACGGCGGCGGCGTGGAGGAGGGCGGTGGGGTGGAGGGGGCAGCAGATGCCGATGCCGTTGATGAGATGTCGCGGCGCGAAGACATTGGAAAAGATGATGATGAAAATGTTGGTGGCGTTCCAGTGAAATGAGTCGTTTTGAACCCTTCCCCTCCCCCGTCGTCGTCGGTCCCCTTCTTGGATGGTGTCTCAAGGTGGTTGCCTCCCCTCCCCACCCCGCTCCCCAGCCACACACACACACACACACCCCGAAGGTGGTTTTTGTAATTAACTATTTCTTTCGGTGGTCTTTTTGTTTTTCGTTCTGGTGGTTGTTTTTTTCTGAAATCTGCGATTGCAACAAAGGCGGGGGGCGGGGCGCGCCCGCTCCGGAAGGCGCTGCTGGAAGCCGGTCGGCTTTGAAGTGTGCAGACGTCCACAGAGGGCCTCTGGCAGCACAGCAGTTCTCTAGGGAGTCAGTGGAGATGGCTTGCTTTTTTTAACTTCCTAAAGAACTGGTGGGTGTTTTTTTTTTTTTTTTCTTTTTTAAGAAAAAAAAATTGAAACAAAAAAGGGACCATTACAAATTTTATTTGATTTTATTTTTTTGGAGGGAGAAAACTGATGTCTTCTATGCATCCGATTCTTAACAAAACTGCAGGGAGCTTGAAAAAATGCAGACTGTACAAACGCTTACAAAAAACAAAAACTGTGAACTGACTTTCAGGCCAGAGTTTACTTTTCCGGTCAAATTGTTTATGGTTTTACAATGTGATTTCTACTTGGCAACATTTTTTTTGTAACTTGTTCCCTTATACCTCCTTGATTGAACACCTGACAGCCTAGACCTCAGTACAAAAGGTATTGAAACATTTTTGATACATGACAGACCTCAGCCTTTTTTAAAAATTAATATATTTTCAGGCGTATTTTTGTACAGTGGAAAGGGAACACTTGCTGTGTTTTTTCAGTAAGACTTTCAGGCACTTCTTCCCTTTGGGTTTTTTTTCCTCTGCTTTTTAGCATGCAAGTATGTTGGTACGTTATGTCCTGGTTTAAAGAGGATTAAAATTTTTAAAGTAATCCTTGCATCTTAAAGGCCTTGTGGTTTAAAAAAAAAAAAGTAAACTTTTTTTTGTACAGCTATAGTAGAGATTTGTTCAATATTTGTAGGTAAAGATTTATTGAAAATGGTGATATAGACCTCAGAGCTGTTATCTTAGTTTAAAGATTGTATTTGTACTGTACCATAGTAGGACTTCTGTGTCTCTTACGCTGTGATATGTTCGATGGAGCCCCAGATGGAAGGCTTGAAACTGGATTCTCGATTTTTAGCAAAAACGAAAAATACACACACAAAAGAAAGCAAAAATAAAAAAGGGGGGGAGGAAAACAAGAAAAAAGGCACATAGTTTTAAAAAGTTTCTCATTTTGTGCAATATAATCTAAATAAAGTACAGACCATCTGCATATTTTGTAGCAAATGGTAGCAAAGCAGACTCAATGCGCTGTCCACATAATTGCCTGGTTTGGGGGGGTGGGTTTTTGGTTGTTTTTTTTTCTGTGCTGGAAGTCTGTACCTTGAGGATTTTAATAAATCGGCTGGACCTGATAGAACCTCGCATCGCCAGGAGTCCGTGGGGGTCGTGCTGGAGGCCCAGTGGCAGCGCGCTGGGCGGTGAGGCTGGAGGCGCAGATGGGGATGGCGGCCGCGAGCTCCGCGTTTGCAAAGGAGGTTAGGCTGAGAAGGGCGCCATTGGAAGGCGGGCTGCTGGCTCCTCTTCCCCCTCCCTCGGCTGGCCTGTGAAGGACGGGGGAAGGGTGTGAGCTCCTGGCCTTCCCATCTCCCTCCCCCACCACACCATTTCCTTTCTCACCTCCTCCATTCCGTCCTTCCCCTCCACCCACCCGGACCCGCGGGCGGGCGGCGCGGAGGGGCCCCTGGAGCTGCCCGCTCCCTGGGCCAGGGCTCGGGGCGTTCCGGGAGTGGGCAGCTGTGCGTTCCCGGCGCGGGTGTGTGTCGCGGGTGACAGCTGCCCTCGGGCTGCGAGCTGCGCTCCCCGCCCAGAGGGTGGGGACTCGTTTCCAGTTTTGAATTTTCCTTTGTGTATGTGATGCTGGTATCTCCGCGTGCGCGCCAAGGTAGATGCTGGTGAGGAGCACGGCCAGTTGTAGACCTTCCGGAGGGAAAGAGAGGAGACGGCCGCAGGGCAGTTTGTCCCTCTGGGGCCGTGGAGCGGTCGTAGAGCGCGGGCCCCCTCCCCCGTGAGAGTGGGCGGGAGGGCGCAGAGGTTTGGGCACCGCACGCCCAGACCCGCGACCGGGGCGTCGGGGTTGGCTCAGCCTCCGGCGGGGAGTGGCGGTCGAGGGTGTTCGAGCAGATCCTGGAGGCCCCGTGTCCTCGCCGGTGACGCTCCAGCTCCCGCCGCGGTGTCGGGTGTGTTGAGGGTCCTTGGCTTTGGGGAGAGAGGAAGGAGGCCCCTCACTGGCCGCCTTTGCGTTTGCCGGGCAAGGGTGGTGCCGCATCTTGTTCGTTGGTCTCTTGCAGCCGCCTCTTGGCGGGCTGGGGCTGCAGCCCGCGCGGCGCCGCGGGCCGATCCATCCCGCGGGCTTTCGCTGTCGATCCGAACCCTCCGCCATGCCAGTCCCTCCAGCTCCGTTGCATCAGACCCTGCCGCGTCCCCGAACCAGAGCAGCAGGCCCCGGTGGGCGAGGGCGGCCTCCGGTCCCCACGGGGCGCGTTCAGCGTTCTCTTTCCCCTGGAGACCCGCTGGGGCCCAGCTTCCCCAAGCAGTGGCGCCGTGCTCGGAGAACGGGTCCGGTGGCCAACTGGGACGCCAGGACTCTGGAACCTACTGAAGTGATTGAGCAAGGTCGGGGCTTGCTACTGCAGCTTTGGCGAACGTCCGCTAAGTCGCTGGGGCTGCTAGGCCCGAGGGGCGCCTGCGCCCCCTCCAGCCTCTCCTCCCCTCGCACTAGCCCGGGACTCCTCGGGCCAGCGCCGGCCTCCGACAGCCCCTAGCCCCTCCAGTGCGTCGGGATGCGAAGCCCGGGGGGCTTTGGCGGCAGATGCGCAGGGCTTCCCTTTCTGGGACTCTTCCTTTTCAGCAGCCGCCCGTTTTAGGGAAAATCTGGAGGCCGGTGGGGGCAGGCGGGTGGGGAGGACCTGGATTTCCGGAGGTGTTTACCCCAGCTACCCCCCCCCCCCCCCGCAGAGAAGCTGAGGTCGGACTTCTGGCCGCACGGCCACCGCTGCCACGGGTCCTTGCGCCGGCAGTTTACAATGGATTTCTCAGTGCTGGCGAGTTCACGTGGCGGCCGCCTTGCTGCAGCCCTGTGACCGGCTGAGCGCAGAAGCCATCTCGGCAGGCCGAGCCTGGGGTATTTGGGAAACTGGCAGCTTGGATGTGCTTCACGGCTGAATCCTAGATGAAAATAGACGTTTTCTGCGGGGAGGCAGAACCTTCACGTAGGTAGCGCTCATGATTTGGTCTGGGAAGGAATGGAAACATAGTCATAGGAAAAAAAAAAAAAAAAGCTATGTGGCCTAAGCTCTCGATAGGAACTAAGTCTGTTATTGGGACTCAGGACAAGCGCGCAGGGCGCTCGGAACGGCGTCTGAGGCTGTTTGGATGACTGCATTGTGAAATTAATTCTCAATGAATTCTTGAATGTCTGAAACATAGTAGAATGTGCAAGGTCTTCTTGCCACTGGATAGTCTTCAAGAAAAGTTGAATTGCATTTTTTTTTTCGATCTCTTAAGTCAGTCTTATTTGTAACGAAGCCTGGACCAAGTGTCTTGACCCTATCAGGGGTTGGGCCAGCCATGGGGAGTCCTGCTGTTGATAACTGGCTCACAGCCCCTGGTGGCGTGTTGTGCTAAGATTTGCATCTTTGAGAGCTTGAACCAGCATTCTCTTATGAATTGTTTAAACTGTGGAGGTAATTTCCAGTTCTTACACGCTGATATGCATCCCTTTTGTTAAAAAAAAAAAAAAAAGAAAAGCTAATAAACGGCAGTGTGCTTAAACAGTGCTTTGCAAATGTTCCGGTTCTGAACGGCTACAGTTACTGGGCAAACTATTTGTAGAATGATTACCTTTTAGCTACAAAAGATCACGGCCGTGGGACAGAGATGCTTCTTTTTCGTGTTAATCAATGGGAAGTGACTTAAATATGCATGCAGTAGCAGTCAGGACGATTTAGGCTTTTGTTTTTTCCTTGAAAGAAAAGTTTCCAACGGCAAGACATTTTTTTTCCCCCCTCTGGGAATGGAAACTCCAGTCATCTTGATACTGCAGTGGTGCAAGAAATTTGCATTTGTTTTTCACTTGAGAATTTAAATAACTTTTGCCCAAGGAAGCTGAGAAATAAAAGCAAATAAGTTGCTCTATTTTTAAGTAGTCATTCGATATAGATATTTGATATCAGTCTTAACTTTTTTATTCTCTGATATGAATCATAATGTGTATATTCTTACTTTCGCCCCGAATGGGCATATGTATCTTTGTGGACAAACTTCGGAGAGAGCTTTTGCACAACTCTCCTGTTTCTACGCTCTTTGTACCGGCTGCGGTCCTCTGCCCTTCCTGGAGCCCGGGCGGACCTGTGTGTGCTTTTTGCTTCTGGAGGAAGACCAGCGAAAATAGTTTACTGAGTTCTCGATTTTATCAATAGATAAGGAACTTTGTTTATTACAGTTTCAGGGAAGATTTTTTCAGGATATTTCTCAGTTATTCTAAGGGCCAAATTTTGTAACCTTTCCATGAGGAATGTCAGTTTCAGACACCCTTTGTATAGCCTATGCCTGTGGGATACCAGGAGCAGCCTTACGCATCCTAACACAGGGGTTAGAGTTCCCAAAGTGACCGTCTCCATGTCACCACTCTTGACATGCTTTTCCAAGATTTGGCTT